TACAATGTTTGTTTACATCCAACGTTAGGTAATTGTAGTCTTTATGTACAAAAATACACACCCCTCCCTTGAGTAAAGATTTCCTGCAGTATGCAGCACCAAGTTTATAACCTTCAAGATTAATCTGTTCTAGTTCTAGTTGTTTAAGGTGATGTTCTGATATACACAATACCTGAGGCAGCCTAGGAAGCAAAGAAAATATCATCTCATCTGTTTTATTTCTAATTCCACAAATATTCTGATGAAATATTATGAGTGTATTGCTGTCTATTACACCCTTTCCTTTTCCCCTAAAAAATCATTTTTCTTTGTTACTGTTGTTGTTTTTTTCAGTCTTTTAGACTTAACAGATAATTAACAGAAGTATCCAACATCTGTTAGAAAAGATTTCCAGATGTGTACGCTTCTGTACACAACAAAACAATGATAAAAGTTCACTAACTAAACCAAACTAAAACCAAATAACTACATGTATTTAGTAACCTGAACCAATCCTTACAACAGTACAACCCAGTTTACATTCTTATGACAGGATTCTCATCTAGAAGTCAGGTCATGCAGAAACACAACCACATGACAAACAGTACCCTCTCATTTCAATGCATCACACAATTTTAGGAACTCCAGTCAGGGGGTGAATTTATCCACTTCCCTGGCACATAAAGCTAAGATATGTAGTGCTGTATAAGCTATAAAATACAATTCTCTAAAGTTGACCCTATGCTTAACTAATTAAGCAGTATGCCATGAAGGCATATGTGGAAATGGATGTATATACCCATATTTTCTTTACCTCAGCACTAGCTGGAGGTGAGTGGTCAGCATCACGCCCCAAGGAAAGATCCCCCTGGTACCCATTGGATGTGAGGCTGGATTGGCCCAGAGCCAGTCCGGACAACTTACTTACTTATGGAGCTGAGCCCTTCCTGAGAAGCCGTCACTCAAGAATTTCCTAGCATTTTATGGCACCCAAAGGTTCATTACTGTGTTCGCAAGAGCCCTCCACTGGTCCCTATCCTGCGCCAGATCAATCCAATCCATACCATCCCATCCTATCTCTCTAAGATCCATTTTAATATTGTTCACCCACCTATACCTTGGTCTTCCCAGTGATATCTTTCCTTCTGGCTTTCCCATCAATATCCTATACGCATTTCTATTCTTCCCCATTCGTGTTACATGCCCTGCCCACCCATCCTCCTTGACTTGATCATTCTAATTATACTTGGAGAAGAGTACAAGTTATGAAGCTCCTCATTATGTAGTTTTTACCAACCTCCTGTCACTTCATCCCTTTTCGGTCCAAATATTCTCCTCAACACCCTGTTCTCAAACACCTTCAGTCTATGTTCCTCCCTTAATATCAGAGACAAAGCTCCACACCCATACAGAACCACAGGCAAAATTATAGTTTTGTATATTCTAACTTTTATGTTCTTGGATAGCAGATGAGAAGACAAAAGGTTCTGTCCAAACGTCAAGAAGACAAACTTCTTGACCCTACCAGAACTCAGACTCCGACCTCTCTCTTGTCCAGTTCATAGTCAGTTGCTATACCGACTGTTTAAATCAGTGATAGCGCCATATTTTAAGAATGAGTTGATTGTATAAGGTGTTAATAAATCTATTCACCAATCCAAACGCCACCTAGACTCACTAATGCACATTACAATATCTAATAACTTAGAAATAACAAGAAATGTGTGCATTAGGACTAGTACTTTCAACTTAAAAAATTAAGTCTGATCTGATCAAATGTTATATTCTCTTAACATTTTTATTTTATTTTCTGTTTTAACAGACTTCTACTTAAGGTACAGACATTTTCAACTGTGTTGTATGTACCATCTCATGATGAATGTTTACTGTAGAAACATGGGGCATGTAGTTATAAACAATGAATAAGGAACTATTTCAGCTTAAGTGTGTGCACCAACTACTCCCAAACTTTAAAAACTTCTCCTTGGCATTTTGCTCTCAGACACCCACAACCTATGGGCTTATTCCTAGGTGGAAACCCATACAAAAACAAGAAAAATTACAGGTCTGTGTATTCTATTTCTGTATTTTTAAAGAAGAGATTGTAATACAGATGATTCATGCCTTCTCCAAATTCAGTGCGATCTGTTTCTTTTCCTATGTAATTTTGTATCCTTATGCAACGCACATAGCAAATTCAAAGAAAGTGCTTTTATTAGATTGAAAAGAGAAAATATTTTATATATATTTCTCCAGTCTCTATGACCTAGTAAAACACAAACTGACACATTTGTCAGTGGTTGCTAAACAATCAAATGCCATGAAGTTCCAGTCTCGCATGATAACACCTTACTGATTCTATATAACCAATAGCCTAGTTTTCTAAATTTGTAATACTGGTCACTGTCTTCTGATTTGACAGAATTCTTCAAATCATATACTGAAGAGTCATTCTATGACAAAGTAAAAAAAAAAAAGTAAAGCTATCCCTGTACCAGGCAGTGAAGGCCCATAGGGCTCTGAGACATTGAGGGTCCAACATTATCTAGACAATCAGCTCAAAGATGGCGGTAAGGTTGTAAGCCTTACGCGCCAGCCGCGCTTTACTCCCCAGGAAAATTATTTAATTAATTCCTGGTACTCATTTCTGTTAAGAGGCTGAGTGAACCCCAGGGCCATAGTGCAGCTGGAAGGATTAGATCAACTGAAAAACCCAATGACCTCATCGGGACTTGAACCCACGACCTTCCAGCTTGTAGCATAGCCCCTCAACCATTCTATGCCAAAGTACTCTCACTTAACCAGTCCTGTTCTACCTTAAGCACAATTTCCCACAGAACTGTTACGTGAGGACTCCGAAACATGTCTGTAACTTTCTTCTTCAACAGTCTTCATACAGAATCTCCAGATATTAATGGTCATTTCCAACAGCTTCCAGGCAGTTGCCTCACTTATCCTAACAGGAAACTATAATACATGGCCCAAGGTTCAAATACTGTTCTTGAATGGTTAGTGTGCCCCCTAATGTGTAAATAAACAGTAAGTAAAAAAAAAAAAAATATATACAGAACAAAGTATTCTTAATCCTATAATTATTATGTCAACTACAAATATTGTGAAAGCACCATATCATGTAATAATGTCTTGACATTTATTTTGAGCAAAAATTCTTCAAACACATATTTCGAGCAAATGAGTGAAGATAATTTTATAGTTACTGCATAAACTCAAAATCGTAATATCAAATTGCTAAAATAATGGTTATATGGTTTACTGAATGATGCTGTCAGCAGCTCAGGTTACATAATCTTGATCTGTAGAGAATAATTTGTGAATATTGAGTAAGCAGTAATAGTCATATCTGTGGTAATATTCTGGCATTTGCCTAAAAGGACAAAGAAAACCATGAAAATCCTTTGTCAGGACAGCCAACGTCTGGGCAAAGACTGGAACCTCAAACCTCCCTAATGGGACCTCATTTGGTGCTAAAACTATGACATAACGGCTTGAGAGCAAGGACCTTGAAACACGTAAATAAATATGACAAATGTGTGTTTTGATTGAATGGATTTATCATCAACACAGCATGGCACATTCTTAGGTTGTGGATGTAGGAGGCAAACTTCAGATGTTGCAAGAAGCTGCAAATGTTGAATATGCAGATGTGGACAGCCAACAAGGAATGGTCCTCCAATTTGGCAGAGTTGAGCAAAGGACTAACAAACTCTTTCCACCACAAAACGAACATGTTAGAAACTTCACAACAGCACTTGGGCAACTATCAAGCTCTCATAAACATAGAAATAAATTTCTTGTGCCTAGAAGTGCCAGAAAAGACAACAGTCCTGCCCCAGCCAGGTATCAAATCCTGGTCATCCAGGCAAAGGCCTATCATTATATTGAGCTATCTCTGCTCTGTGACACAGACACATACAATGAAGGACTATGAGGTCAACATCATTACCATATTGTAACACTATGGCCTGCATAACAAAACATGATTAAGATTCTAATTAGACTTAACACACAGATATATATATATATATATATATATATATATATGAAAAAACCAACTAGTGAATACATCAGCCATTACAAATTATGGCTGTTTCGTATGCAGCACACTATCCTACTTTTGTTTCCATACCCTTCTGTCATTAACAAAATCTTGTTGGCATAGCAACATAATAGTTCTATTCACAAACCATTCTGTTTGGTATTACACATGTTTTCATGAATCAGTTTTAAATGTGGTCATGTGGTCTTGCTTTCCTCAGTAATCACCCATACAATGTCCACCTACTGACAAACTTGTCGCAGAATTTGTTTCATATACATTTTCTGATCTCAACATAAAGATAAAGTAAAATTATATACAATTAATGTAACCTATCCTAACCTGCCAATGTATTTAAATGTTTGAGTAATACGACAAAAAATAAATTATGTTTTGAGTTCACTTGTACAACCAGGAATTTCAGTAAGCAATGTGACTACATCAAAACCTGGTTTCATCTGCACGTTTGTCCACCAGCAAAATTAAATTAAATTCTGTTTACTTTAATAATTATTTTAGGCTCTCTCAAACTTCACCTATATTGCTGATTAAATTAAAAAAAGATGCTAACTTCTGCTAAGCAAAACACGATTAAATAAAATTTATCTAATACAGTTTTCAGGCAGATATGTATTGTTTATGATGTAAAACACTCTTCCAGCCTATTTGTGCCATGCATTTTATAACCTGCCTTTCAGACAAATAGTATTTTACAAACTTAAAACATCTTTTGACAGGCACAGGCTTGGAGTGTATATAAGCTGCAAGTACATGACAGCATAAGTGTGGATTCGCAGCTACGATTTATGTCCATAAATCCCAAATATTTATTAATATAATAATTATTCGAGCATATCCCTGCTACATACGGCCTGGGATGTATATTTAAATCGTATAAAACTTAATACAATCTATATACACCATGACCTATAAAGCTTTCCAGTTGAAAGAACGTTATGCTTACCTTCTCTGGCTTTTAGATATACAGTGTTTGCAACAATATTCTCTAATTCCATGAGTTCCAGTTTGCCTGATTTCCCGTTCCCCGGGCCGATATCGACCCTTTCCCATCAAAATGTTTACTTCAGTCGGGGTGTGGTGGAGCGGGGAAGATGGCGACCAAGACCTTCAGCTGAAACGTCAATTTTTGTAACATGAATTGTCGTAACACATCAGCGATGTTCAAAATGAATTCACTGTATTACACACGAATGCTATAAGTACCTCAATAAACGTCACAACACAATACCAAATGCGTAACGGAAGTTCCCAGTCACAGGTTCTATGAGCGGGAGAACAACACCGAACACATGTATACCTAGCACAGCCGGCTAGATCGTTCCCTTGTTTACGCAGATTACTAGCAGACTCCAACGCTCCCAACACTGGTTACTTTTACAACACCAACCTAGGCCTCCTGCGTTTACCCGCAATAATGCAACAGGCATCCTAACATTTACAAGAGTGTTCGGATTATGACAGCTGATGGGGTTTCTCTCGTTATTACATGACTTTTATAACATGCAGTACCCATAGTCAAATTAAATTTAATTTTGTATCAATTTCTTTCCGTTTGAGAATTTCAAGAGGTTAGAATTGTCATACATATTCCAATATTTTCCCCACGGTAAGAGGGAGGAGGGATGCGATTTCAAACCGCTATAAATAAATTCGAAATTATTTCGGGTTGGAGTAGTTATCATTGCTGACACTGTAATAACAGGAAATGTGAAACAAATATTTTATATATATGTGTGACGATTAGCTTGATTTCTACCTCAAAACTGTGTTCTGTCCTTTTAAACGAACTTTATTTATTTCCTGCACAGAAAAGAAAACTGAAAAATAACTGGAGATCGCGAAGCGAATTGCCAGATCTACTGCCGTGCTGCGAAAGACCAAGGATAGAACTTTGTGGAGGGGTTGACCCCTTCCGAAGCGGAAAAAGAGGCCCCACAAGGTTAGGAGCAGGGAATGTGGCGGCACCAGCTACTCTGAACAGTTTCACCCCCACGGTTGGAACGAAAAAGGACAGAAAAAAGTTTTTATTTGTGCACCTGGATTGACCTAAACCTTATCAGGGAGTCGCTCGGGACGAGAGAACTTAAGGAGGGAGCGATGGTGGCGGTTGGAGAGTAGTCACCGCAGGAAAAACGGAGCCACAAAAAGACGTCACGAGCAGAACCTTCGCAAAAGAAGGGACGGTGATACACCGTTAGTCTATTCGGAACGAACTGCCTTAAGGAGGGAGCAATGTGACATGACGCCTGAAAGCCGGAAGTGCGCAGTCAGAGAAGCACAACAGAGATATCTGTTACCAGATAACGGCTAGATAAATATTGTTCCCGCAGCAACGAATTACCATGGCAACAGATACGCAGAATAACAGAGGAACTGTACGACATGGTGATCTGTTTGCGGTCTGCACCGGGTCATGAAAGCACACGTAATTGATTCGCAGGGATGAGCCAGTCGTACAGAGAGAGAGAGAAGGCTAGAGACTAGGTGCCAGTCAAAGATCCAGAGAACAGTGAGGGATTCGTTATCAAGAAGGAATTAAATGTGTGAACTCTTATAATCAAGTTTAATTGCAATATAGTCGTCCAATAAATCCAATCGTCAAATCTATAACCCATAATTTTTAGTCTCGCTTACCCCTAATACGTGACAATATGAAGACCTATCTGGACTCCTTCAACTTATCTGACAATGTACGAAATATATCCTACATAGCCCCTCATGAGACATCACAGTGCCCATTGGGATATATGAACCCCCGCTTCAGAACCTCTAGGTTAAAGAAAATGTCAGGACAATACACTTAACCCACAACAAATAACATAGTACACTGTTACTTTCGGTTTCTTCTCTTTCGAAATTCTGCATCGTCGGTTCTCCCGCCCTGCCTTCAGGTACACATTAGTTCGACATCCGCTGCAGTGCGTGAGTCTATAAGTGCTCTGCTTCATATATGCAGTTATTCTCACCGCAACCAACCAGAGTCTACAGACTGGTGTAGCAGAAACGTTTCTACTCTCATTTAAGAGACACCAAGCTCGGGTCTCAACCAGATTACCGAGTATCTTGACTGAGCTGCTTGTTGGTTTTATTCTGTTCTCCAGACCAATACAATGACCAGTTCCTTCCAAATCCTTACCTACTCAGCACATGAGATGAACACCCACTTAATAGGAAGTTATATAACCTCTACAGCTGAAATTACGTCGATAAATAAGCAAGGACTTAATCACACTAGAGATGAACCTTGAGAATAGGGATTCTTGTACTCATGTTTAAGAGCTTAGAACTTTAGGGATCTAGGCGTATGGGAAAGAATATTATTAAAATGGAAATTAGAGGACACAAGGCCCAATGATAGGCTTCTGTGAGCAGGGTAAAACGCATTTGATTTTGATAAAAGTCACGGAAATTCTGAAGCAGCTAAATAAATATTAACTATCAGAAGGAGTCTATATTATTTGAATTCGAACTCCCAATACTTGTTCCTATAAGCTGTTTTGACCTCGGTAGCAATCAATAGTTATGACGTGAGTATAACGTCATTATTATAACATTAGTTATTATATCGCGCACTGCGGCCTCTAATTACTTCAATGAGAATGCTTCACATCCGAGTGTGGGCCAGTAGTGGTATCCGTTGCGTAGGTGTAGAGAGCATATTGTCTATTATGGCGTTACTCAAACTGTGGTTCTGATACTCCAACGGTGTGTGGGTTTGTTTAATGACGCTATCATCTACACCAAAGAACGTCGAATGGTAGAACGATTGATGAATTATGAATTTGGATAGATTTGGAAGGAAGCGATTGTGGCCCCATCCATGTACTATCCGACCTCGACGTGATGTAGTCTCAATACTGACTCCGTGGCTTTAGTCCGCATGCGAACTCTACCGCCCGAGCGACCGCCGCTTGTCGGCGAAGTTAGTGTGAACTTCAGCAGATAGAGGGTGTCGCGTGATCAGCGAAACGAATCCCCACGGCCGTCTTTTTCAGATTTCTAGACCGGAGCAGCTATTTTCTTGAAATAGCTCCTCAATTATCCTCATGAGGCTGAGTGGACCCCGTTCCAGACCCACTATTTCTCAGAAAATCTGGTAGCGACGGGAATCGAACACGGACCTCTGGATCTGTAGCCAGGAACTCTGACCACTAGACCACAGAGGCGGTCAGGACTGACAGAGTCATTAAATAACCAACTTGAAAGAAAACTACCCCGAAATTTTCCTGGAAGCATCGAAGAAAACTACGAAATCCCCAAGACTGAGTAGTTAGTGTCAGAGTCGAGATTTGAACCAAGTACCTCCTGAATAAAGTCCAGAACGTTAGAGCTAGACCAGGCTACTCCATCCCACGGGTACGAAAACAGCTTTTCAGGGATACCATAAATCATCATTCGTACTTTTAAGCATTGATGAATAACAGTTATCGTTATGACATCGAACTAACTAAATCCACGGAGCTTAATCCTCATTGAGAAGCCGCCAGTCGCTCAGCTACTCAAGAATTCCCAACATTCTACGGAACCTGAAGGTTCATCGCCGTGTTCACAGAATCCCTCTACTGGTCCGTCTCCTGAACCAAATCAATTCCTGTCCATACCGACCCCATTCTATTCCTCAAATACCCATTTTAATATTATTCTCACACCTACGTCTATGTCTTCCTAGTGTTCTCTCCCTTTCTGGCTGTCCCACTAAAACACAATAGGTATTAATCTTTTTCCCATACGTGCTACATACCGTTTCATATCACAAATAATTTTGTACTGAGATAAGCCCGGGTAACAGAAGATGCTCTCATACCGCCTCTAGCAGTTGGAAGGAGATTGACTTGATTAATCTGTGCAGTTTAGAACTCCTTTTTCTTTTCTTCTGTCCTGACATTAAAACTGTTTCAAGGTGTGCCAACAACAGAAAGATTCAGGGCCGACGTCCCGCTCTGAAGGAACTCATACCCATAGATACACACGCGTTACATCTCGAATGTTAATTAGAGAAACATTTTCAGTTGTATGAAAAATTGAGGTGACAAAATATCCGTCATATTCCGTTTTTTGCTATATAATTATATTAATTTTACATCTTAAGAAGTATAGCCTGAATAGCTCACTGAGTATAGTCACTAGGCTACAGTGAGTGATCCGGGTTCGATGTCTCCCAAACCAACTCTAGGGCCCACCCAGACTCTTATTATATAAAGGATAAGGGGAACTCTTTCACTGGGGATAAAGCGATAGGAGTGTGAAGCTGCCCGCTCACCACCATCAAGAAGCATGACGCAATACCTCCTCCCCCACATGTCTCCATGGCATAGCTCTTAAACACAGAAACACAGTTACCTTTGTATTTTTATACCTGGACCTGTTGTGCAATTTTCCAGTATGAGTATGAGGGGGTGAGCCATAAAACTGGCCCTAGCACTGCGACCTTCAGTGGTCTATTGTGCTTTAATTTTTCAGTAAATACGTAATTAAATTACTCACTAATTATCCAACATACTAAATTACTAGCTCCTGCTGTATTTACCATTTAAAGCCTAGTGGTTACTATATGTACCACCTACTTTAACACACTAAACTCTGCATTCTGCCCACAAAGTGTATATGTGTGTGATTCTCATAATAAACAGCGACTGTTTTCCGGAACAGAATTAACCGGTTGGGCTTTGCAACGAAGACGTAATGCGTTTCCTGTGAGGTATGGACTGGACTCATACATTATCTTAAAATGAACTTAAAAAACGGATGCGTCCATACTGCATCTATATAACCAATATGCACAGTTGTAACAAAACGCCCATGCATCGATCGGAAATTGAACCCGTAACCCCAGCACGCGCACTTATTTTACAGTCCGCCACTGAGCAATAAGATGTCTGTTAGTGACGTCATTGCTGAATTGCAGTGTCAATAAACTTAATGAAGGCTGCCGCATTTCAAAACAGAAATCACGACTTCGTAGTGATGTTTAAAACAAATTTAATCCTGGAGAATGCCTATATTGCATGTATGCCCGTGTCAATACGGTACACAAATTAAATTAAAACTTAAATTCTTAAGTCACCGAGGTTAGAATATATTTCAATTTAGAATATTCTGAGTTCTGTTCCCAGGCTGTATTAAAGCTCATACGTGTATGTTCGCATAATCCTCGTAATACACAGTGATATTTTCTTAAATAGCAAAGACTGGAATCTATGTACTGTCTGAGTTACTGACAAGGTCGTTTAATCAAGTAGAAGCTACGAGCTATTATTTCATACGTATTTATGTTACTTTGGGGCTATGCGGTAGCTTAGTTGGTTGAGGCACTATGCTACAAGCCGTAAGGTCGCGGGTTCGAGTCTGGAGGAGGTGAGTTTTTTTTTAATTTATCTAGCCCTTCCAGCCGCACTATGGGCTTGGGAACAGAAATGAGTATCAGGTATCTTCCTGGGGGTAGGAGGTTAAAGGGCGGCTGGTACATAAGGCTGACAGCCTCACCGCCATCTGTGAGCCGATTGTCTAGAAAATGTGGGAGCCTCGACGTCTCACAGCCTTATGGGCCTCCACGGCCTGTTACAGGGAGAGCTTTACCTTTTTATGTTACTGTACATTATTTTGTCTGTTTATTTATGTATTGCTTATTTATGAACTTCCGAGAGCCAGGATAGCGTAGTCGGTATAGGGTTACGAGTTGGATGGTCAGAATTCAATTCCGGGAAGAGGAGAGATGTTTTTCTTTTCTCCGAGGTATTCAGACCGGCTCTGGGGACCACCAAGTCTCTTATCCAGTGAGTAGCAATGGGACTGTTTCCTCTGGGATATTTTTTATTGCTAGTGAGGTGGGACTAAGTCCCTTGTACTGAGGCCACTTCTGGCCTATTGTACCAGCCCCAGATGATAGGTGAGGGTCATTTTGGAGCAATTGGTGGAATGAAGATTGGCAGGGGAAACCGAAGTACTCGGAGAAAACCTGCCCCAGCGCAACTTTATCCACTACAAATCCGACTTGAACAGATCCGAGTTCGAACCTGGGTCTCCGTGGTGGGAAGCCAGCGACTAACCGCTTGAGCTATGGCGCGGCCACCTTCCTCTGGGATAAAGCGACTATGGTGAATCCGACAACTCATTTCCATTTAGTGTCGTGGTCAAGAATGGTGGAGCTATAAACCTTCGCTCTCTATGACGTGGTGCTTAATTAATTAAGCACAGGGACAACTTTATGTTATGTAAAGGCTGGAAACTCCACTTACGAAGAGACCATTTACATAATAAAGTAATTCGGGAGAAAGTGGGAAACCCCAGTCCCATAAACCGATGCTGAAGATTTTTTTTCCTTGTCATTACAGCCCCAGTGGGCCTAGGCCTACCTCCATGAACTTCTCCGTTCACTTTGGTTTTTCTAGATCTTACACATCCGGTAGGACTTCTTGGGCGGGTGATCAGCTCGTCGCAAGGCCTCTACCTGTACACAAACACAGAAAAACGCACACACACAAACTAAACATTCATGCCCTGAGTGGAATTTTAACCCACGATCCCGGTTTCCAAGCGAGCGAAGACAGTACATGCCTTAGACCGCTCGGCTACCGTGACCGTCAGTGTATAAGAATAATATATAAGAATTCGGTTCGTACCTCACAGGAAACAGATCCGAACCCACGGTCCCGGCTTCCGAGCGAGCGAAGACAGTACATGCCTTAGACCGCTCTGCTACCGTGACCGGCGATGCTGAGGATTAGAATGAAGATATCACTTGGAAAGGACGAAAGATATACAACGGGCCCATACACCAATATTCTTAATAGAGAATAATAATAACAATAGTAGTATTATTATTCTCAGTGGGGTGAGACTGAGTCCACTTGGTACTGCGGCCACTACTGAACTATTGTACCAGCCACAGATGATAGATGATGGTGACTGTGGAGCAATTGGTGGAATGAAGATTGGCAGGGGAAACAGAGATACTCGGAGAAAACCTGCCCCGGTGCCACTTTGTCCACCACAAATCCCACATGACCTGACTCTGGCTCGAACCAAGGCCGCCACGGTGGGAAGCCAGCGACTACCGCTTGAGCTATGGTGCGGCCGTAAGAATAGCATTAACCAATTGGTCTTTGTAGAGAAGTACTATCTTCTGGGATGTGAAACCGTGTATTCTGATGCAAGTTTACCGACATGTCGGAGGAAATGTCTCCATCTTCAGGATTTCAGTGTAAGCCGAGCTGCTTGGACAAGCGAGAAGTATCCAGGAGTGCTCTCGTCACGGTGGTAAAGAGAAAATCTCTGTCCCGCCCGGGAATCGAATCACTGTCGTCCGGCCCGTAGCTGGTCAGTATACTGACCGCTGACATGCGAAAGAATCGACCGTGTTCTAGTCTGAGGAACTGGCTCCGAATGTCTTTGGTGTGCCTGGCGAAAGCCACGATATCTTGTTAAGTTAGTCGGTCCTCGGAAAGAATGTTTCATTCATAATTTGTGAGTAGGTTCTTGGTCTATATGTATACAATTTTTTACATTAATTGCTTCACTTCTTCATAAGTTATTGCCATTAAACCGAAATTTAAATATAAATGTATCGTGTTTATTATATTTCACACCCTACACAAATTATACCAACTTACATGCATCTATATTTCTAAAGTCTATTACGACTTAAATGTCAGAATTATTCTCTTCTATTCACTCTGGCATCTTTTCCACTCCAAAAGTTCGTTCGGCCACCATGTTACTCTTCTTGCACTTTCGATGCTTCCACTATTTATTTCAGATGTATTATTTGTATTATTGATTGTAAATATTTCAAAGATTTGTTGTGAGTGTTTAACTATTAGGATAAAATTTACTTACTTTCCAAAACGCTGAAGCTCAGAGAAAAGTTACGCAAATAATTTTAAAAACATCACGCCTACTATCATATAAACAATATTTGCATAAAGCTTGCCGATGAAGTCAGCGTCTACACGAGCGTACAAAATGCGTCCGTTGTAACGAACGTACTTTGCTGAGGACGTTGCTGAGGACAGCACACAGTTGCAGAATGCGGTGCGTAGTTTTTTGTCTGCATGGAGCCAGAAGAAAGCGTAGCATTCGCCTCTCTTGCTTATTTCTACAACGGACGCTACGACTTTCGTTACAACGGACGCATTCTGTACGCTCGTGTAGACGCTGCCTTAGGGAAAACACTGATGTGTGTATACCTTCGAAAAAATTCCTAGCCTCTTGCGATCATCCTGCTGCCTAGCTGTTTCCCACTCGATTTACGACACTGCATGAAAGACCTACGAAAACAGCAGACAGACGTCAAAATATGTAGATGGAACACGTGCTTCTAATGTCCGTCCCGAATGACGCAAGCACAGTCTGTAACACACGTCCACTCATCTATCATGGCACATACAGAGTGATTCTAAATTACTGTCGGAGTGTCCGTGCACTATAAACGTGAACACAATCAAAAATTTAGAATCATATTATACTTCACTTCCTATATAATTTGACGTAAAAACTAAACTCCGCACCCTGTAGTCCGCAAGTGAACTATACAGACCGAGCGACCGCCGCTTCATTAGAACTCATGCTGGTTAGCTAACCTAGCATTTGCCTGTTTCATGTGAAGAAAACAGAGAAATATTCCAATCAGAAAAGCTGGCCTCCGGTTCGAGAAACAAATGCAGAACTTGCAGAATAAGGAACAGGAATAAGTTTACCGACATTTCGAAGAAACGTGATAATTCCATCTTCGGAGTAGAAGAACTTATACCAGACTACACGGCGTCACAACCCAGAAGACTATGATCTGATTGTCTTTCTACATCGTGAATGGTGAATGGATTAATTAAGTACTTATACACACGACTTGGAACTACCAGCAATTACAGCGTCACCACTAATCACCATAGTACACGCTATGCTTTTTCTAGCCTGCAGTGTCTTCACCAGCCGTTTCCTGGCAACGGCTTCTAACAGTGAAGACTCTTCAGCTTCACGCGCTCAAGCCCTCTCTTCACGGAATCCCGTACAGAATTGTACCGGCCGCCCCAGTTGTCCTCAAGGTAACTCCTCGGCATTGACCACGTAGAAACACCCCGTTTGCGCCAGTAACTCTATTGTTACGCGTCGTTTCGTTGTTGCGGGAAAGTGTTTACCTAGCCGTTGCCTGGAAACAGCTCTGGTATATTCTCCTACCTCTCGATCGTCTTATAGTACCGGCACTGCACGCTACAATACTTTACTCTGTCCAATTCTGTGAGTCCTTGCGTCACTCACTGCGTCCTTCACGATCTCTCTCTTTGTCACACGTACTGACTGGTAAAGTCATCAGATCAGATGTTTCTGTCCACCAGGATGGGAAGTTTCATTTCTTATGTAGATTATTCATCCATATTTTTCCCTATTAAACAATTTATGTCTCAATGGTGTTCAAGGATATCCAAAATATGACTTTCGTGCCACAAAATTAACCAGTTCAGTGGATTAGAGCTCTTAAACACACTCAGCGAATCTCTTCCTTTCATAGACACAGAAAGTTTATCATTACAGAGCTCACAGAAGCCTGTCTTTACATCCGGATAAATCCAGTCCATATCGCTACATGCTGCTTCTTTAAAATCCACTTTAATATTATCCATTTATATACACTTACGTAGTAGATCCCACAACCCAGACACTAATTCAGAATCACCATGCATATTCAACAAAAGGTATAATCTCTTGGTGCCGGGTCTACCCATCGCAACGCTCCTACAGCCATAAAAAGAAACATGAGAACAAAAACAATTTGGACAGATACCCGAGTGGGAAAGAGCCATGGAGATATAAGCGACAGGGTTAGGCCCAGATCAAGTCTGGGCGCGATGCCGTAGGCTGCATTTGGGTAAAAAAGCAGAAAAGGTAAAGTTATCCCTGTAACAGTCCGTGGAGGCCAATAGGGTTGCGATATGTAGAGGCTCCCACATTTTCTATACAATCGGCTCACAAATGGCGGTGAGGTTGTCAGCCTTACGCGCCGGACGCCCTTTACCCTAAGGAATATTCCTGGCACCCATTTCTGTTACAGGTTGAGTCGACCCCAGGGGCATAGTGCGGCTGGAGGATTAGGTAAATTGAAATAAAAACACCTCATCGGGATTTGATTCCGCGACCTTCCGGCTTGTAGCGTAGTGCCTCAATCAACTACTATATCGCGTGCCCCCAGGTTGGATTTAGGTAAATTTATTTATTTACAGTTGCTATGATAATGTCGTTAGTAAATCAGACCACATAGAATATAATTATTTTGGACGACAGTGAAAAAGGAACTGGAAAAGATGTCGAAGGAAACGACCGTGGCCTAATTTAAGGCATTGTCCCGGAATTTTCCTGAAGTGACTTAGAAAATCCAAGAAATACAGCTCAGTGTCTAGGCTAAGGTTCGAACAGAGCTCCTTCCAAATATAAGTAAAAAATGTGACCGTTTGAGTCGAATTGCTGCGTAAGGAGACGGAGAGAAAATGCTCCGCCCGTGGCGAGAATATAACCCCGGTCGTCCATCCCGCAGCCGGTCTTTATTGTCCGAGTTATGAGTTCGAACACATACAGGCGCATAAGTACAACGCCGCACGAGATCCGATTATTCTGATGTGTCTGTGAGCCACGTCATGCAAAGTTGCAAGGCAAATAAACCATTTTCTTTTGTGGACAAATCTGCATTTACAGGTTCCATGAATTATGCTTCAGACGTCATGTCTGAAGGGTCGAATGAGTAAACCGGTTTATGGACTAGAACAGGATTTACACAACTCCACAGTCTGTTAGTGTAATATGGTCGGTTCCTGGAACATAACATTTTACCCCCCACATTAACCTTCTGAAGCCTGAAGTTCAAATAAATCTATCCATTCCTACATGTCTACACACAAAGAAATGTGTGTTTTTCACGCTGATTTCTTGCTTGGTTTATTCTTCGACCCTGAAGATGGAGACGATATGTTCCCCCGAAAGGATGGTTATATCCTAGATGGCAAACCCATAAACATCGCTGTGAGGACCTCAGATCCTTCATGTGTGTCTGCTTGTCTGTTCTTCATAAATGTCCACACCTTCGCTCCTATTTCGAACAAATCTGTTATGATAGCAGATGACCTCTTTGGGGAGGTTTCAGACACCTGAACCCCCCCGCACAATAGTTTTTATTTTACTTATTGCTCGAGAACTACTCATCCTAACGTACTGAAACATTTTGTATTCGATAATTTTTAAAAACAAAACAGGTTTTCCTTTTAAGTTGGTTATATGTGGTATATCTAGCATAAGACACATTTCCGCTTAGTCCAGACCATTTTAATCATGATCATTTGGCTTACGGCTCAGAAAACATCTTGGATTTTGGAAACTGACCCTTGGGACGGGAAATTTTGCGAAATGTTCACGTTTCAGTGACAACCCTGACCAACATGGGTTGCATCATCAGCACGAGTTATGTCACAAGTTCACTGGGCCCCAGCCCCCTCCCCTGCCCCGGTCTCTAGCACATGGCTATCTCTATACACCCATCTCACCAAGATTAACCGGTTGTATCACCAGTTGCTGCTTCTTAGCTCAAGCAGTAAGCTTTGTGGTGACTAGGATGGACAGATGTTAGAATAAAGTTGGTGACACCTAGAATCGATGTCTCAGAAGAATTGTATGTGATCATCGAGTGAAAGCTGTAACATTACACAAGATTAAATTTCATTATCGAACATATTTTAACTCGGTATGCATTCGAATACCATCGTCTGAGTGCTGAAGTGTACTACATCCACGACAATAATCTTTTGGGGGGTCGCTGGGTTTGAAGTTACTGAAACCACTGCAGTTCAAATGTGACTTAGAACAAAACATATTCTGAGACTTTACACTTGAAAGTGAGGTAACGTTATAGGAAGTATGTGGAGACAGTGTAAGACGAGAATAAAAAAAGCGAGTTATTTCTCTTTCGCCCAAAATTAGAGACAGAACGCTTCACTACTCAGATGACTGTTTGAGTTGCAAGTGAATTAGATAAAGTGTTAATAACGGTATTTAAATTTAAATAATTTAGTAGATTTGAGGACATCTTTAGATCAAGTTCATTTTTGTATAATTATTTAATATAAATTGCAAAAATAATTACTATAAAAGTATAAAAATAATTTTATATAGTTTAGATACAAAATATTCCTTTATAATCTTAAAAAATAACGACACATGTGTATTTATTGTTCGTTAATTTGCCACAAAAGACTCTATTATCTCAGGTAAATCAGATCTTAACACACCTTCAAATGACTCACTTGACAAAAGTTTTAAAAATCTCATCTTAACTGAAACACGATATTTTTAGTCGACAAACGAAATGGAATGCATTCAACTAAGATTACGTTTGGTGATAATCATATGCTTCATCTTTATTGTTTGTGTGAACTGCGCAAGAGACCAAAACCCAAACCACACAATATCAAGACACAGTCGACAAAAGAAATCTCACCTCGTGAAGAAATACTTGAGGCGTCTGAAGAAGCAAGAAGGAATACTCAGACTAGTAGACGGTCGTGGAGAATATGAAGGTACGCTAATAGAAGCCAGCCCACATTATACTTCACTAAAGAGTGCACCATCTGTGGGACATTGCGTCTTAATGTAACAAGCTGTTAATCCCCACGTTTGTAATTCGCTCCCCGACGCCATATTTATCAACATAAATACCAACCTAACAATAGCGGAGGCATCAAATTCTTAATACGCGTGCATGCCATAACACACACTTCAAATTTCTGGAGCAACAACTGTGTAATTGTATTCATTGGTTGGATAATGTGTTTTAAGTCGAATAAACATCAGCTGTTATTTACATCAAACAACTGGCGACCTAACTTCAGATGTGACTTACTAATAACTTGGCCGCGCCATAGCTCAAGCGGTTAGTCGCCGGCTTCCCACTACGGCGGCCCTGGTTCGATCCCGGGTCTGGTTAAGTTGGATTTGTAGTGGAGAAAGTGGCTCTGGGATGGGTTTTTCTCCGAGTACTTCGTTTTCCCTTGTCAATCTTCATTCCACTAAATTCTCCATCATCATAATCACCCAGGGCAGGCTACAATAGGCCAATCAGTGGCCGCTGTGCTGAGTGGACCCAGTTGGACTCCACCCCCCACTAAGCGAATTAAAAAAAATACTAATAACTTGACCTAGAGTTAAGAAGTGACATTTCCTCACATTGAAGATGTAATGATTAAATAGATATGACTCGTTTCCTTAAAACAGATACTGGAGTTTATTTCACATAAAAAGTAATGGTTATACAGCCGTAACTCGGTTTCTTGAATTAGGTAGTGGCATTTCCCCCACACCGGATGTAATGGTTATACAGCCATGACTCAGGTTTCTTGAAATTTCTCTTTATTGCTAGTGGGGTGGGACTAAGTCCCTTGTACTGCGGCCACTTCTGGCCTATTGTATTAGCCCCAGATGATAGGTGAGGGTGACTGTGGAGCAATTGGTGGAATGAAGATTGGCAGGTGAAACCGAGGTACTCGGAGAAAACCTGCCCCAGCGCCACTTTGTCCACCATAATATTCCACTTGATCAGAACCGGGATCGAACCCGGGCCGCCGCGGTGGGAAGCCAGCGACTAACCGCTTGAGCTATGGCGCGGCCCTTTCTTGAATTATGTAGTGGTATTTCCGCCACACCGGATGTAATGATTATGCAGCCATGACTCTGGTTTCTTGAATCAGGCAGTGGAATTTCCCCCACACCGGATGTAATGGTTATACCGCCATGACTCGGTTTCTTGAATTAGGTAGTGGCATTTCCTTCAGACTGGATGTAATGGTTATACCGCCATGACTCGATTTCTTGAATTAGGTAGTGACATTTCCTTCAGACTGGATGTAATGCTTATACAGCCATGACTCGGTTTCTTGAATTAGGTAGTGGCATTTCCTTCAGACTGGATGTAATGCTTATACAGCCATGACTCGGTTTCTTGAATTAGTGCCATTTCCTACACACCGGATGTAATGCTTATACAGCCATGACTCGGTTTCTTGAATTAGTGCTATTTCCTACACATAAGGCATAATACTTACCTAAATCGTCATGACTCGTCAGGTATTTACAAGTGCCATGTTTAGCTGTTAACGACTGGCCTACTTGAACATTGCTCACAAGACCACACTACGGGAGAAAGTCTGATTCTGCCTGATTATATCATATTACTATTCATGTTTTTATACATGTCTACAGCAGCTGTGAAAAAAAAAATAATATTCATTCAGCTGAACACGGCCTGGATAGCTAAGTGTGCAAACTGACTAAATATGGATTGAACAACTGGGTTTGATTACCGGGTGGGGTAAAATTTTCCTTCTTTCGTCACCATGTTCTCAGAGATTCTTGTGCACTCAGCCGCCCTTGAAACGGGTAACGAAATTTCTTTTTCAGGAAAGATTACAAAAAGTGGAATAGACCATTTAGCGTAGAGACTAAGAATAAACTGGGCTTTACTTCTATTCACCCTATACATTTTCAGGTCACGGGGCTTATGCATACAAGTAGCTTTTTATCTTGTTCTACTTTTATTATACAAAAAAGCCAAACGATTTAGCAACAATAAATTCAGACAGTGTTGACGAAATGGAAGTTCTGATGGCACCGCAGGTCAAGCGGACTTGAAATCAAAATGACTTAGTCATAACCTAACGAACCATAGTGCCGACAGGATGCTCCACAATTCTCTTCCCACAATTTAATCCGTAGAGGATTTAATGGTGTTATTTCAGTTCAAAGTGGTATATATCATAGAACGAAATGGAGTCAAGTACTGTAAGTAAATAAGAACCGGAGCGGGTGCAATTTGTGGCCAGTTTAATAATTCGTAACCTGACCGAGATTCAAACTGGTCACATCAAGTTTAAAACATTTCCATTCAGATGGACTTGATGTATAGCATGGATGTTGGAGTTCAGAAATCCGTAGAAGAAAAATTCGTTCTGAATACTAGAAGGGAACAGAATACTTGGGGTAATTTAGGCATACATGGGAAGAAAATGGGGGGGGGCGATAGCGTAGTTGGTTGAGGCACTATGCTACAAGCCGGAAGGTGGCGGGTTCGAGTCCCGAAGAAGTGGATTTCTTTTTAATTGACCTAATCCTTCCCTCCGCACTTTGGCCCTGGAGTTGACTCAGTCTCTAACAGAAATGAGTACCAAGAATCTTCCTGGGGGCTAAATGGCGGCCGGCGGGTAAGGCTGACAACCTTACTACCATCCGTGAGCCGATTGTCTACATAATATGGGACCCTCAACGTCTCACAAATCTATGGGCCTTCACGGCCTGTTACAAGAGTAGCTTTAGCTTTACCTTACGGGAAGATAATATTAAAACTGATACTAAAGAAATAGGGCGTGGGTAAATAGAGAGGAAATCTCTTGATCATCACAGCGACTGCCACGGACTCCGCATCATGGAGGCAAGTTAAAATAATATCTGGCTTTCAGTTTCTGAAACACCAAATTATATCTGACACAAAAAGGTTTATATTTAGGTTGCTTATTTTACGACACTCATTAACTCTGAGTCTACTGCTTCGAACGACAGGATGATTGAATAATAATGAATTTTAAAGGATTAGGGAGTAAACGGCTGTTGTCTAATCGAGTTATTATCCCGGCATTTGCCTGGAGGGACTGAATGAACCACGAGAGAAACTGGGTCCCGACTGAGATTCGAACGAGGCATCTCCCGAATACAATTCTATAGCACTAGCGCTGTATCAGTTTGCTCTGTAGTTCCAGTTATGAACATGATTTTGATTATATACCAATTCTGACTCACACAACTCGTGTTCGTGCTTCTTACTGCATGTGATCCTCTGAAGCCAGCAAAGGCACTTGATGGGTGGTGTCATTATCACGTGTAGTGCTCCCAGTTTCCCGATTTGGGTGTTCCACCCTGAATCCCGTCCAGTGCTCTGCAGTTTCCTATCTTAACGCCTGAACACAATTTCCTGGACTCAATAGCAATACGGCTTGCGTATTCTCGAGAATTACTCGTAAGCGAAATAGACTGATGCATGTGGGGCTTTCTGTGGACACAGCGAGATTACCTCATTAGGCCTATTCCATTTTCACATTTGTTGACATAGTGGCTGTTCATATTGATCAAAATGAGACGCTCAACTCCAGTGAAGTGTACAAGAAGAGTTATGTTTTCTGATACATAAAGCCATGTATGCAGGTGAACATCAAAGGACTTTCCCGGAAGAACATGTAGGCACCAACTTTAGGATCGATTTTTTTTTTTGCTCCGATCAAAGTAGCCGCGCGGTCTAAGGCATGAACCCCATTTTCGCTCGCTCGAGTGCTGGGATCGTGGGTTCGAATCCCACTCGAGGCATGGATGTCTGTGTGCATTTATTCTGTGTTTGTGTTATTCTGTGTAGAGATAGAGGCCTTGCGACGGGCTGATCCCCCGTCCAAGGAATCGTACCGTCTGTGTATAGGACTAAGAAACAGCAAAGTGGCCAGGGCCAAATAAAGCGCTGTAGAGGTTGGGTGGGGTGAGACTGGTCCACTTGGTACGTCGGCCACTACTGGCCTATTCTACCAGCCCCGGATGTTAGATGATGATGCATGAGGAGCAGTCGATGAAATGATCTGGCGGCAAAATGCTAAGCACGCGAGGAAAACCTGTCCAAGTACCATGTTGTCCACCACAAATCCCACACGACCTGGCCGGGATCGAACCCGGGCCGCCGCAGTGGGAAGCGGGACGACTGAGTGTCTGAGCTATAGCACAGTCTTTTACAATCGAAGAGTAAACTAAGCAAAGAAGCAGGCAGAATGTAGCTGCTTTTTGCCAATTTGTTACTCGGCTTCCTCTATGCTTCTTGTCTTGTTCTGCAACCCTTAAAATGGAGGAAATAAATTTCTCCGAAACGTCGGTTGATTTTCACCAAACTACACGGCATTAAATTCCAGAAGGCAGAAATCTTCATAGTCAACGCTGTGAGAACCACGAATCCATCTGGGCCTATACGTACTTTTCTCCATTCTATCTTCGTAATTTCGAACGCCTTATAAGAAGAGATGGCCTTGTATTACTCACATAATCTAGTTCAAACCAAATAGCACCGCAGAACGAGTGAGGGGGCATATAGCACGGTGTAGATTAACTGAACTAACTCCATGGAGCTGAGAAGCCGCCATTTACTCAGCTACTCAAGAATTTCCCAACGTTTTATGGAACCCAAATGTTCATTATAGTGTTCACAAGAGCACACAATCGGTCCCCACCTTGAACGAGACCCAGTCCATATCACCCCAACCCATTCAGTTCATTCAGTATTGAGGGGGTGGGTTTCCCCATGCACCGCGACTAATAGTCTATTGTACGTCCCACTTTAATTTCTACTGTCGCCATACCCTACCGATGCTGGTGCCCGCTATCGCCCCTTTCTGCCAGCGAGGTATCGCCCTCTACTGGCAGTGGTACCCGATAACTTCCCCATCTATCGGAGGCATTGGAAACTACTTGGGCAGGAAACTTTTTTTGGCCTAATTTTGCT